TTTAACGTACAGAAGTAGTGCAATAGGTTCTGAAACAGAACCAATTTAACAGACTTTTTTGCAATGAGATTGACTTCATTTGAGGCAGCTAACCACAAGCTCTTATGCAAATTACAGTCACCCTGAACTATGAGTCAAGGGCACGCTGTGCTCATGAAATACTCTATAATCCTCAAAAGGCACCTAATTGCCTGTCTAACCAAATGAAAGGGATATCAAATTCTGGTGTACATGTTACACAAAAGGTCATTTGTGCTTAGTTGAATCTAAGGTTGCTTAGTGTCAGCACACTTTGGGTATGTAGCAAACTGCGCAATACCTCTGCTTTGAGTCAGACATACATTGGCTTTTAGATTTAAAAATAAATATGCTCATGTTTTATTCTCAATCAAATAACAGATATAATTTTGTTGGCAGGGAGCGTATTCCCACGTTGCATATCCATCTCATGAGAACCCTCAGTCTACACCGCACAGCAACAGCAGGTGTTATTTGAGACAAGATGAGGATTTAGACAAAAGTCCCTTTTAATTGGGATTCTTCTAAAGAAAAAAAAAAGAAAAGAAAAAAAAAGAAGAGCCATAGTGTTATTTCACCCAAAAGTATTTACTCACTTTTATGTCGTTCCAAACCCGCAATACTTTCGTTCATCTTCGGAACACAAATGAACATATTTTTTATGAAATCTGAGAGATTTCTGTCCCTCCATTGACAGTCTACGCAACTACCGCTTTGACACTTCAAAAAGTTCTTAAAGAGATCGTAAAGCTTATCCAAATGAAGCGTGCGGTTTAGTAAACATTTTCTGAAGAGACTTGATCACTTTATATGATGAACAGATTGAATTTAAACTAATCTAATTCTCAAACAAACATTGATCAGCGAACATAAACAAAATCTCAACCGTAAATGCTTTGGCACGCGAGAACAAGCCTCTCTTGTCCTCTCTGGACATAGGATATACATAGATGCCCCATTGGCCTGCTAACCTTATGCTTGCAGTTCAACACACAAATGTTTGTTTTATTGTTCATACCATAACAATGTCTTTAGAGAAATGTTATACTATAGGAAAAAAGACATACAATTATTTTCTTTTTAAACGGACAGCATTATTTTGAATTGTTTCTGGCAATTTGAAAAAAATGTGTTTTATTGAGTTGTAAAAAGTTAAACATTTAATGATCTATAAGCATTTCACAGACTTACTGTCAGTACACCATAGTTATACAAATGAACTAAATGAACTACTTCCATTCAAATGGATGGAAACAGATAGAAAAGGATTGGACTTAAAAGATTCCTTATCCTGTGGTTTCCTCTAGTGGGCAACATTAATATCACAGTTTGTACCCCTAATTATAAGATCATCCTTAATGGATACAGTAAACATTTAAGTTACAGCGGAATAACATTTACAGTACAACTACAGTACAATATAAATTGTATGCAATGTAAGTGAAATTTGACATCAGATGTATTTCTTCAATAGCGCAGTTTTATCCTAAAGCTTATTATTATTATTCTTAATAATAATAATAATAATAGCCTAAAAATACAATTGAGTTTGAGTATAATATAGTAGTAATATAATAACTATTAATAAAACACCAAATATTATATATATCATAAACTGTAAAATAATAGTCTATAAAAAAATTGCAAATAAAATAGTCAGTAGTGAAAAGTACATTTAATTGTTTAAGTCATATAATCATGATAGGCAAAAGAGGTGCAGTCTGTTGGAAATGCAGAGAACGGTCCACTGACAGGCTTTCTTCAGTCTTCCTTGACGTTTGCGCTATCCTGGCTGACACTGGCTAAAATGGGGAAAAAATATAAATGAGCCGATTAGATGACAAGCAATCAAAACACCTGCTCTTTGGTGAGATTAGACGGTTTTGCTCTATCTGTAATTCTGACAGCCTGAGCTATCCTGTCAAAGGCATCTGGCTCACTGCAATGCATGGAAGACTCACTTGCGATTTGGATTCATTCATAATATAAACTCAGACTTCAAGAGAATCATGTAAACTTTATATTATTTCTTATAAAGCCTCAGTTCTCATAGCTAACTAGCGTTATCGCTAGCAATGAATAGTCTGGTGCCCAACTAGTTGTCAAAATGACCAAATAAAACCAAAAACAACTCTTCAGACTTACATGTGAAAGGTAATTCCCCGAGAAATGGTTTAGATTGTACGACGGTTTGTAAAACCTCGAAATAGTCAGGGTTCTTTTCTCAGTCCAGTTACGGCAAGCTGCCTGGACCAATATGGCGGCGCCGTTGACGTACAATCCATCGGCCAATCAGGCTCATATGTATTTTATATTTTATAGAAATATAAACTTTATTGAATGATTTATGAACAAAACAGATAAATACAGATATAAACAAAACTTTCTTGAACATTCAAATACAGCAACAATGGATGTCAGCATTAAGAAAAAAAGGAAGACAATGAAAAATAAATAGTAGGTACATATATAAATTACAGTAATAAACAATTCAATGTACAGAGGCAGTAGATCAAGTTACGCTACAATCAACAGCTCGTCATACAGTTTCAAAGTTTTTACTGACATTCTGGTAACTTTCAATGAATAATGGCGTAAATTGCACTTTTTCTTCGCAAAAAACAACAACTATGTCTTCAGAAAACTAGCAATAGTGCACAAGTCGTATACTTTTATGGAGCTATTTTGTCTTTTAAGACTACCCTGTTTCATCACTCAAATGAAACACCTCTGTTTTGTACTAGCACAGACGATCCATTTTATGAGTAATAATGTAGAGCAAAGAGTAGAATTTTTATGGGGAAGCAGCAAAGGGTGGATTTAGTGCTCAGACAAATAGGTATTTAGCCATGTCTGGAACGCATTGTCACTGCTCATCTTCCCCTCTTAATTCATGTCTCCTTTCCTATCCTCTTCTAGTCTTGACTGGTACAGAGATGAGCTCCAGGGAGGCATATAGAGAGTCACATGTCGAAACTTACAACCACATTCTTACACATTTCCACTGTGGCACGTAACATTGCATGTGGAGGCTTTATCTGGTGATCTTCTGAGAACTGCAAAATAAACGTAGCTTCTGTTTGCGAGTAGACGATGCAAATAGCGATGATATTGATTAGGCCTGAAAGCGATGTAAAACATCGCGGTGAACATTTGTGAAGTCACGAACCACACTCAGACGTTATCAACTGAAACCATTCAAATCCAGAAGATTTTGATGATTTATTGCATTTCACAAACCTAGTGACATGACCTGACTAGATCTCATATGATTTTTCATTTAAGAGTGGCCAGATATCAAAGTGTGTCATGCTACTTTCTTATTTGGAAGCGCACTGTTGTCATTTCCTTTTATTCTTAATAATCGTGATTTGCGCGGTGATTGATGGACTTTTTACAACTGTCGTTTCGCTCCCTGCTTCTATCATGACGTCTAATTGCTTAACCATCCCATAGTCAACCCCCTGGTTCTAATAAAGCTGACAGTCTGCCGGTAAACGTCCTTTTAGACACCCCCCCGCTGCCTCCCTTTCTTCTGCTCGGCCTCTCCAAACCTCCTCCTGTAATTCCCATTACTGTTCAAGACCCAGTCTTTTACATGCAACCCATTCCCCACCATCCCTCGGTCACAGAAACCTTGGCTGCGCTTCATTCACAATAATTATAATAACGTCTTGTGGTTCAGGTATGAGAAGAACATACCTCAGTCTAGACGTAGGAAGTTTCTTAATGGGCATTCCTGTGCTACTGCTTGGCGCATTTGCATGGCTAAAGCAAGCATATAGCATTACAGCCTTTAGGAACTATGTGACCACATCGCTAATATCAGAGGTACTCAAAACAGCGTTTTTGTTCAATGCGCGTTTTATTACATCCATCAAAGACGTGTAATGAAAGCCATGAAAATGGATTTCCTGTTTTGGAGGACTCTACAAGGAGCTACAAAACCTCTGGCCCACTGAACTCTGTTTCTGAACAACTTTAAGGGTGATCACGCAAACTCTCTAGCATTGCTGTTTGCATATTTATTTGGGCAGGTAAATGTAATTCCATCGCTGTAACTTCACTTCACAGTAGTCGCATTTACAGTGCAAGCTTTGAATTCAATGCATAACATTTGACTGTGAAGATTCACATTTTCTGGTAGATTATTCTGGCCAGATTAATGAATTTCTGTTTGTCAAGATGTTTCACCTTTTATCCAAGTGGCCAGAGCTGTACATCTGGGAAACCAGACAACAACTGTCAAAGTGGATGTCACAACTTAGATGGACAAACCCCTTTGGACAAGTGTATCTGTACTTAAAGACAAGGATAACATCCAAGGGCGAAGTCAAGATTTTGGTCAATGAGGAAAGAGGGAGCCTTTAACTCTCAGCTACTTTCTACAATTTCACACCAAATAACACCTTTAATCTCCAGCTCTGCAAGGACACCAACCATTAGCAAGTTTGGAAAACATCAGTGTGAAGAGTGAAGAGGTTAAACTTGAATGAGTTGTGTCTCGAGCAACAAGGAAACACAAAGAACACTCAGTGCATAAAAGCATGCACACATGCTCAAGAGGTTCAGTGAACTCCGATGGCTTCCACAGTCTCAAGATCTCAATGAAGAAAGATTATGATTCACATCACAAATGTCCAGTTTACATGATGCTACCATGTCAATAGAGACTTGAACTTCTAAAGAATGTTTGCAGGGTCTTGCTGAATCAATGCCACAAAACATTACAGCTGTTCTGGGGTCAAAGAGCTTTGTAAAAGTTGTACCTGATAAAGTGTGGTAAACGAGGTACCAGAAGTTGCTTAAATTACAGATACTGAAATTCTGATCGTGTGCACTTTCTGATGTTATCACCAAAGTTTGAGTAGTCAAACAGCGAGAGCTGATGATAATCACTGATTTGTGATCATAACAAGCTTAAATGTTGTTACATCAGTGAAACCGATCTGGATACAGAGCATGCTGCAGCCTCTACCATTAACTTCCGGGTACGGGTCTCTTGACTCTGTACAAAAGCAGGAGACAACATTTCTGTGGTGCATACCGAGTGTGACTGAGCTGTCAACAATGAGCATCCTTTGGCATATAACTAGTCTGCTACTGCTGCGTTCCTGCACTCCAGGTGATCGCATCTAATCTACTTATGTATTTACAAACGTTTGTTTCTCATAATATGCTGTCGAATTGTTTCATAGAACTAAACTCTTTCTTAGGTTTCTCCACGCATGATGGTATTGTTGGCGGTAAAGTCTCCATTCCACACAGTCGACCCTACATGGTCTACATTCGTGACTCTAAATCCAAAGCAGTATGTGGTGGTTTTTTGGTAAGAGACGATTTTGTGTTGACAGCCGCCCACTGTAAACATAGGTAGGTGAAATTAATTATCATATTTTGGAATTAAAAAGGGTATACAACAAATTCCACAATAAACAAGTGACTTTTCATATCCAAAGTGGCAATATCTTTGTATTGAAATATGGTAACACTTTACAATAAGGTTAATTAGTTAACTACCTTAGTTAACATCAACTAAGAATGAACAATACTTCTTCAGCATTTATTCATCTTAGTTAATATTAATTTCAACATGTACTAATACATTATTAATATCAACGGTTGTATTAGTTAACATTAGTAAATGTATTAACTAACATGAATGAACAGCTGTATTTTTTATTAACTAATATTAACAAAGATTAATACTGTACCAAATGTATTGCTCATTCATTGTTAGGTCATGCATTTACTAATGTTAACTAATGAACCTTATTGTAAAGTGTTACCTGAAGTATATGTTTTTGTAAGTATGGCCTCTGTATCTGTTTCTTTTGTTGTTGTCATCTTTAGCCATCTTAAGGTGTATTTAGGGGTCAGTGACAGCAACTATTTACCTGACGGTGTAGCTGTAGATCCAATTCCACATCCAGAATTCAAGAGCAATACACCAGGTCATGACATCATGCTTTTAAAGGTAATATATAACGTTGAACCATTTATAATTGGAACCACGCTTTTGAAAAATGGCCTTTCTTTCATAATAGGAAATCTGATGTTTGCAGAATATCATTTGGCTAAATCTAATTAACTTGTATGTAATCTAATGAATACATTCACTAAAATACAAAAAAAAAACAGAAAGAAATGTACAACTTTGCACCTTGCCTTTCAGCTTGAAACCCCAGCAACTTTGAATAAAAATGTGAAGACTATCGCCTTGCCAAAAAAAGCGAGTCTCAAACATGCAATCTTAAAGGATTGCATGGTCATGGGTTGGGGCTTGCAGGATTACCATGATAGCCATCCATCAATAGTCCTCAAAGAAGCAAATGTAACTCTGTTGGACTCTAAAAACTGTGGGACAAATGACACTCTGTGCAGCGCGGGAACGACTGGACCGGCAGGGGTATTTCAAGTGGCATCACTTACAAATTATTATCTACGGTGTATTGTTAGTGCATTCTAGATATACTAATAATCAAATGATATCATCTACAGGGAGACTCTGGGGGTCCACTTGTTTGTGGAGATGTTGCTCAGGGAATTGTATCTTATTACACAGCGGAGTCAAATGGAGACCACCGCACAAGATACACTGACATTTCCCAATACCTTCCATGGATTCATTGCAGTATGAATCCACCTCCTCCGAAGCAACATGAAACATGGAAGGGCAACCTGGATAAACTAATTTAGTTCAAAACAAGTTGTTTGGTTCAATCATCCATGTTTGGTTTTATACAACATTCAGCACATCTGTAACATTAAATGTGCAATTTTAAAATAAAGGCTTATTCTTGTCAGTTTCACATAAGTCTAATATGCATTTAATTGTCTGTGTTTAAATGTATATACCAAGCATTCATGCAGTAGTTCTCAACCAGAGGCCCAGAGCTCATTAGGGGGCCTCAGGAAACTTCCAAGGCGGGCTCAAAATGGTATGAATGAAACGGTTACCAGTTGAATAACCCAGGATTAAATCCCTAAGGGTTAGTATTATGGTTTCATATTTTAATTATTAAAACTGTATTTGCATTAAGCAAAGTAAAGCAAGTCTCAAGAATGTAGTATAGACTTCATTTAGTGTTAAAAAAAATCATGGTGGAAGGCAGTGAGCCTGTCTACCATTTTTCTGACCAAAATGGAAACTGGGCTGAATTATGCAAAGCTGTTCATTTAAACCAGTTGATGTAAAAAAAAAAAACATTCTAAATATCTAAACTATTTTTAATGTATTTAGTATTACTTACAGTGCAGATAAAAAAACCTATAATTTTAACTCGTATTTTTAGAAAAAGTTTAAAGTCTGAGAAATTAGGTTATCATTTTATGGCTTTAGTCAAAACTTTTTGAAAATGTTGGTAGATAACATGTTATGCTATAATAAAAAAAATACAGCTATTGTTAATATTTTAATTCTTATGCAAACAAAGTGCTGCTAATTGTTATTTCTCAATATAAAACTAGTGGAAATTTCAGTTGTGTATTAGTACTTTAAACAATTACAGAACATAATACTATGATTTTGATAACCATGATCATTTTAGTCACTACAATCATGAAATTTCCCATTCATCTCTAAAAACAAGCATTATATAAATAATAAAGTTATTATTTTAAGACATTTCTAACTTGAATTGGTCATTAAACCTGGATAATATAACCTAATGATCTGAAAGTTGTGTACATCAAACTCCATGGGCATTTGTGTTGAAATTTAGTTTCCCCCAAGCTCTAAAATACTTCTGGGAGATTGAGTAAATGTTTATAAAAATCTTTCTGGTAAAATACAATTGAAATGGGGTGCCTTGGAGTCAACTGTTGAGAACCACTACTGTAGTTGGCCACCACTGCCACCTTGTGGTGAAAGTGTGTGTATTGCTAAACTAACCTCAAGGGAAAAACCTATGCTAATAAACTTGTAAAGCAAAATACTGAACAAAATAGTGTAAACAAACTTTATTGAACTACTTTGTCACTCAAGACTTTAAAATGAACACCTTTCTACTGCATCACCTTGTAACAATCAGCCTTATTGGTTGATGTTACCATTGTCAACCACTTTCAGCAAAATACAGCACAAACTTCAATCTAGACGATCGATTGTTCATCTCTAGAAAGTGTTTTGACGCTTTCCATGCTATCTTTATGGAGAGATGGGTTCATCAGCACAACAGCTTTCCATGAGCTCTGGGGAAGAAAGAAAATAAAAACATTGTGTCAGAAAGAATTAAAATAAGCATACAGAAGAAACTAACAAATTAATGTTACTCAAACACCTATTTCTATTGGAACATCTGGACATTACTTAAACTAGTTGTTATTAAATCAAACATGGATTTTAAAAGCAACTGCATACCTCTCATTTTCACCATGAAAATGACTTCATTTCATCTGAAAGGTTAGCTTCCTCCGCTAGTTCTCAAATGCAACACGTCCAATGCATCAGTCTGGAAAATAAAAGCATATTTTACTATAGTAGATGGGGACAACAATTGTAAGAACCATGCACTTAATTTTTAAATAAACAACTAATTACATTTCTAGATTAAACAAGCAAGAAATTCATACAAAACTAATGTTGAAAAAGGACCAGGCAATTCTATAGGGACTCCATAGTGAATCACTCAAAAGACGATGAGGCGACGCAAAGGCTACATCTCAAATTTCAAGTCTGGTTTTGACGTTAGTGACAAAAAGATGAGTCTTTAAAGTGGGTGCAGACAAAAATTGCAATCAGAACAGGGACTTAAACATCTCATCTGAAGGGCGGCATGAGGTACTTTCCACCAAACACGAGCGCACTATAAAAAGTAGTCTAGTCATGCAGCTTGTTATTTTCTTTTAAAGGGGGAAGATGTGGAACAGGATTGACTAGATTCTGCAGACGTAATAGATCACTGGTCGAGGCAATATTCGAAGAAAACATGGACAATGAGAACTGTTGTAGGATGCGTACAGGAGAGCAAAAGTTTTTACCTCACATTACAGGCCTATCTCCACAAATGACCTAGTCAAGAGAGCAGCTTTCATCTCAGGATTCTTGAGTCGGAAGGCACAACACTTCATTCTCCAAGGACATTGTTGATTTCCGAATTTGCTAGCAGAGAACTCTTGGATCCAATGAAGCATTATACAGAGCCATTGCTTGCTATACCATAACAGCAACGTTTCATCTTCATATTTGTTTGCTGAACAAATACTAAATTTTATTTTCCTAGATGAACACTTAAGATCCCAGAAGCTAAATTCCCAGCTAGCCATTCCAAAACATTCATCTGGCTTGCATTGAGATTAATATCGGAGGCAAAAGAAATCAGAGCAGTTTCCAACCATTTTTTTTAATGGGCTTCATGAAGCCAGATTAATACAAAAAAGAAAAAGGATTCTGAGGTGTTGATATACAGAAACAGAGCACATTTCTTTCCAAGAAGGAACAAAACCTTGACATTTAAGAGGATAAGTTCAGTCCACAGTAGAGCATACTTTTAAAAATAAATTTAGACTGTGCAAAGAGCAAAGTACCATGGGTCATTAGTCCTAACATGAGGCTCAATGACCCACTGAAGTGGTTTACTCTTTGGATAATGAATATTTACAAATCTTTAGCAACATCAAGGAGGTTTGCCGGAGACAACTCCAACGCAACATGCCTGCCTTGCTTCACTAAAGGAATGCATCACAAAATGGAGGTGGCAAGGAGCCATAAAGAGCACATCACAGCTTATCAAGCTTCTACTGGAGGATCGGATTAGAATATTTTCTGATGGCGAAGCTGCCGCTTTAAAATTCAGTTTAAATGCAAATGCCCCTAGCACTTTCAGTGAGCCGATATTAAGAAATTGGTCCAAAGATATTTGAGGAAATTGGTCTTAGAAGCTATCAGGCTGTGTTGGACAGTTCAATTTTCACGCATGGTTTCAGAGACAAATTTCTTAAACACATACTAAAAGAAAAACAAAGACAATTTCAACCCCCTGTGAGCATCTATAACAATCGCAAGGTAAAAAAATGGCAGATACAGGAAGCCTCACTAGGCTTGAAAGTCTTATAGTAACTGAATGCTCATGGATTTTAGGCAGCTCCTCAATGAGAGGAACATCCTGCGGATACTTGACACGGTAAAAAAGGAGTCTGTCTTTAATAGAACATTTGAACCAGAACACAAAACGTAAAGAAAAAAGTAAAAATAAAAAAGGTCTTCGAAGAGCGCATCTTTTTAAATACAGCCAGCGTAGTAGGGATGGATCTTGGAATCAGGATTTTTTTTTACTCGTGTGAAGCTGAGGACAAGAAGTAGGCAAGAGTGTAAAGGCACTGGAGCATTGTGAACATCCTTTCCAAAAAGTGATCTGACACCATGATATGATTCTTTTCGAACAAGGTCTTATTGACTATTCTGATCAAGTGCACAAAACCGACTTTAGTCGCTAATATTGAAAAATGACTTCTAGGATTGTGGTCAGCAATTCCATGATAAAGCAACCAAGTTGACTGATCTCAAAAGTTGAAGTGGCAGTTCTCATTCTGCTTAGGTCTAGACATTATTCTAAGATCACAGTGGCCTGAACTCTATTGGTGCAGTTGAATAGTAAAATTAGTAATCAATCAAGCAATACGTACCGTAGCTGTCGTAACTGTCTCTGTAGGATCCGCCAGAGCGGTCATATCCCCCCTGGCTCCTAAAACCAAAAGTAATATTTGCCATATTTAAGGGGTTCACGGTTACAAGACCAAAAAAACTGTTCCTCCTGCACAACCATTCCAACCGTAAGAGATCCCTCACCTGTTATCCCTGTACCCACTGCCACCGCTGGAGTATCCTCCACTCCTGTTGGAGTATCCTCCTCCACCACCACCACCGTATGAACGGTCACCTCCGCCATAGCTTCTCTCCCCTCCACCATAGCCTCTATCACTACTGCCATAACTGCGGTCTCCACCATAGCTCCTGTCGCCACCGTAGCTTCTGTCTCCACTGTATCCTCCACCACCTGTTTAACCAAGAAAAAATAAAATTAGCATAGAAAATAAACATGACATGAACAAGACATTCAAGATGCACCCACTGAGGTGGACCATCAGCTTTGTCATGATATTTACATAGCGCCATGACCACTTCAAATGCAAACTTATCCAAGTTTAATACAAACCTCTTCCTCTGCCACCCCTGAAGAATCCCCTGCCACCTCCAGAACCGCCTCTGAATCCACCAGACCGTCCACCAGATTTGCCGGCTTCATCAACACGAATCATGCGGCCATCAACAGACTGCAAGAAAGATGCATCTTATGGTTAATGCGGTTTAGGTTCCAGCCCAGTTAATGAATTTCATGTCACTTATTACTTGGTCTTTAAGGTATAGGTGGCCTAAAATTAAGATTGTTATAGTTTACTCATCCTCAGATTGTTTCAAACCTGCATGAGTTTCTTGTGCTGAACACAAAAGAGGATATTTTGTAGAATGTCGGTAACTGCAGACAGTTGAGGGTAGCCATCGACTTCCATAGTATAAAACAAATATACTATGGCAGTCGGTGGCTACAATTAACTGCCTGGTTAATTTATTTTGTGTTCAGAAGAAACATAGGTTTGAAACAACTTGAGGGTAATGCTAATTTTCATTTTTGGATGAACTACAACTTTAATGTTGAATAGACTAAAATCAACAGGCAACAAAATGGCCACAAATCAAACATTAAAGTTAAAAAAAAATTAACATTTGGCTAAAATTCAGGTTTTATAGTCGTTAAATGCATCAATCTCCTCACCTTTCCATTCATTGCAGCCATGGCATCCTTTGCATCCTCTGGATTTTCAAACGTAACAAAGCCGAATCCCCTGGAACGGTCGGTCTCACGGTCCCTGATGACATCAACTAAAACAACAAAAGCAGCGCATAATCATGAATAAAGCTGTAACAGTTATTTTAAAAACACAATACTAATTAAATAGAAGTGAACACATACCTTTGGCAATGGTTCCATATTTGGAGAAAGCCTCCTCCAAAGACTGTTCCGTGGTATCATAACTCAGACCACCAATGAAGAGCTTTCCCTCGTCAGACATGATTAATATTCTGCAGAGAAATAGATATTTTTATACAATACTGCCACGCAAAAACGGTTAGAAAAAAAGTCAAAACCATAAAAATAATAAAATAAGGGCTGAACGGAAGTAAAATGGAAGCAAATTCGTCGAGCTGCTCAGACGCATCGTGTTTCAAAGTGCGCAACAAGGAAGCGCCATTTTCTACCCACCCCCTCCTCTTCCTCACAGCGTGCTGCAGCCATTTTGCCACAAAGAAACGCTTAATCTTTTCAAACCCGTTTGAACTGTAAAGTTTTAGATTTTCGACTAAATTCATTTGTAAAGCCGAAATGAAAATAACCATTCAATATTAGAAGCGCTAGCTTTATGAAAAGTAGGTCAGTGGAACTAGGTCACGACGAAGAGCTTTTGAGCTACAACATGAACAAAGAAAGCCATCTAATCCGACTAATCCAAAACGATTTATATACAACATGTGAGCCATTATAAGTAAAGACAGCAATTACAACATAAACCACTTTAAACAAGTATTTTTAAAGACTAAGAATACGTAAAAACCGTGTATATACGACAAATAAACCAGAATAACAAATTACACACCAATATAATGCAACAACAGGATATAACACTTCATTTAACCATAGAAAGAAGGTTTGATGAAGAAAAAAGAAGAAGCTGTATTCCTTACCTCACAGTTTTTCTCGAACACACAGGAAGGTTGCTGAACGCGACGCCGACTGCGGCAGAATGAGACCGGGCACAGAAAATGGCGCCAGTTTAAATGCTTCACGTGACTGCAGATCACTGGGGGCGTGTCAAATCTCGGCGCGTCACAGGTCACATGAATAAAGAATAACCTTTTGTCACTCTTACACTAAAATATATTACTTGATCTCAAAGAGAGATTTATATAATCTTACGTAAAGGTCTTAAATTAATCCTTTCCATTTTATATATTGTTTAAAAACGTTTTGCAATATTTAAAAAAACTGAATTTGCAATGCTCGTTTATTCTATAGGCTACTGGTATGATATGTTTGCTGTAATTTGAACTAGTAGCCTAGAATCTGTTTAAATATAGCATTGTATGATCAAAAATCCTAGTAGGCCACAGACAAACAACCCTAATGAAATAACCTTAACGAATCAATGCCACTTCTTTGTGATAAAATGCAATTTTATTAACTGATAAGGAACAATCTGTGGTAATCATATATATTTTTTTCAATAGGCCTATAGTGGTAACATTAGAGGTTGATTACGTCAATAAGAGGAACATCTTCTAATTCAGTAGTGTTTGCATTGTTTGCAAAAATCACAACACACAATAAATAAAATGGATTATCTTTCAAGGCTACTTTTTAATGCTGAATCCACTCTACTGTTCCTTTTTAGGCTTAACTATTTCTTTGGTTCTCAATAATATAGCAGACAAGTTGATTTATTCTGAAACCTATTTATAATTCATGTTTCCTTTTGAGGATACAATTAGACATGCGATTATAATTGTATGCTTCTGATGAACTGACTGCAACTTTTGAATCTTTATTGAACTCAAACCCCATACTTTAGGTTCACATGCAGATTTGCTAAAATGTCTTGAAATCCTGCTTCAGTGTTGTAAGGGGTGAACACTGTGAGTAAATGAGTAAAATGAATGTAAAACGTTTAAAAGGCTGTTTCTTGATTTAAAAAATTCAAAAGGCTGAAAAACACGCTTAACTTGTGCTATTGAGAAGTTGAAAAGGTTCAACTGATTCTGCTCTCTTTTTAAATTTAATGCAATCCCATAAAATAAGATCTATGGTCTAAAAGTATTTAACTTAGAATAGTGCTCAATTTATTAGCATTGAATACAATATTTTACCTTTGCATTCAGCAACGATTGTGCAAATAAGATACTGGTCTTGGTATCACTTGCTAATGGTTCCTCAAAGAATATCACGTGCTTTCAGTAGTGCTCAGTACATTAGCACAACAGTGCTATCACCATATGTTCCTCTTTAGCATACTGAACAATGCGGCAGACTGAGGCCCCCTGCAGGGCGGCGATGACCCCACCCAGAAACAGTTGGGTGCAGATTGGCAGAATGATAGTGAAGTGTTGCTACTCACGGTTCTTTCGGTAGGACAATGAAATAGTTCTGCGTGTGCTAATGTGTGACAATCAAGTAGCCTACAACAGAATGTGCTGGCTCAAGAATAGTCAAAACGCATTCTTACTTTTTTGTTTGCAAAATTATTATTAGTAGACTACTTTTTAAATTTTCACACGGAATTGGGCTACTGTTGCCGTGGTATTTTAAGTCCCCATGGAACAAGGTTTGTACCGGCCAGAGACCCTTTTTTTTTTACCGGGGGACACCCTGCCCCCGAACTAGGATTGCCAAAATAAGGGACACCCATTCACGGCTCCCAATTCCAAACCCCATCCCCCCTTGTTAGAATCAAAATTGAACAAGATGTTACAAAGAGAAAAGTTGGAGTCTTTACAGTTTATCATTTATTTCAAACATCTGTTTTTCATACAATTCTACAAATTTAAAGTGTGCCACTTAATTTATGTCTATGTGTATTCTGTGTTGTTTCTGATTTTGAGAAGCGGGGTCAGGCACAATTCAGTTGATTCTAATCATAATGATATTATTGAAAAACAATATTATTTTTTTTAGCACGAAAAATGCTAAACTTTGACAAAAAGTATTTTTTATTGTTATAATTGTGATTTCATAAAATGTAGATATGAATCCAACAAGAAAAACTTGTGAAAAGATGTCTTTCAGTAGTCAAATAGTGGCTGCATCTACTGGTTGAAATGATAATTTTTTACTTTTAAAACGCCATTTTCCAAAAGGTGGGCGACACTCGTACATTAAACCATGTCAAATTATCCATGTTATCCCCACGAATGAAAGATAGAAATGTGTCTTTTATAAAGTGAATTTTACAGAAAAATATTTGTTTTGTTATATATTTATTTATATAAAATTAAAATGTGGAGACCTGCACAACACAACACATTAATAAACGGAGTAAAATTACATTTGTTTAATTTTTTTTTTTTTTTTTACATTTTGTTGTATCTTTTGGACAAAGATAACTTTTTTTACGCTCAAGGGATTAAAAACCGAGCAGGTTTACAGCGCATGTTCACGAGACTCCGTCGCTATGGAAACAACATCACGCGAAAATGAGCTTTTCCACTAGGCTAGCCTACTTGATTTCTTTATATTTGCTATTAACACTGCAAAATCCTTATGTTTTTATTCAACTATGGACCTATGTAAAATACTGGACAAATCGCGCCCCGTCCATAGACAGTAAAAGAGGTCCCGTCCCGTTTTCATTTGATATGGGACGGATTTTAGGCTATCTAGGGACAATTCCGTAGCCTACTTTAAGGGACGGGTGGCAACCCTACCGCATTTTTTTTTTTTTACACATTATAATGAAAAGAAATTATAGCAAACATACAGTGAAGTACAACAATTATAAAACACATCCCTATATCAGGTTTCTCGTGGTCATGGAAAAATTGCAAATCAGCCTTTGAGGTAGGCCCAACTTACACACGCAAAATGCACAGCACCTTAACTGCTCATGCAAGAACGCCAAGAAGCTAAAAATAACTTCTCTCAGAATTGTGCAGTGACCTGGATAAAGATGTTCCTTCATAAGGCAAGAGAAAGCAAGAGCAAGGGTGAACAAGCTGAGTTATAAATATCGTAGCCTTGGGACCTTGAGAACTGTCCTCCGCTTCAAACACCCACGCATGCGCTTCCTGCACCTTACCACAACTTTCCATTTCTCGAATAAGCCCTTCCCCAGCCAATCAGCACGGTCAATATGAGGATATGACATGGTTACATACATAAAACAATATCAAAATATAGCTTACTACCTTAAATGACAAGAATCACACACACACAGACACACACACACACACACACAGAGATAAAAACATCATGCATTGTATTACAATGATAATATTGGATACAGGGGCTGCCATCGCAGATATCAGAAATTTGTTGTTTTAATCGCATTTAGCTATTTGACCAGTGGAGGGCAGTAATTGCATGTCTTAGATCAGCCGGTTGACTGTATGTCTATAGCTATATATGGAACAGAAGAGATGTATTGACTGTATGTGTTTAATATATACATGCCTATATTCAAAATATAGGCCTATTGTTTGTTGACGTATAGGCTATACATCTATTACAACCCCACTACCATAATAAAAATTCTACCACTGTAGTCAGACACTCAACATGCTGATCCTGTCAACATGTTGATCAATCCTGTATATTAAGTATTATATATATATATACACGCACGCACGCACACACACATGTGTGTGTGTACTATAAACATATCAGTCAATATATAACATTGTGTAAGGAATTCATAGTTCCTAAATAGGTTATATATATATATATACTTAGTGTTACATATATAACACTAAATATCCTTTATGAAATATGAATTCCTTACACAGTTATATATTGACTGTACTGGTAAGATTTTGTCTGACATTTGTGTAAGCACACATTTTGCAGCTTGTAAGGCATGAGCTCATGTTTTGTTTACAAGCTTACTGTGGGGGTGGATTGACGGTGGTTACTGCCTTTGTTGGTTGCACAGCAAGACCATGGCGTGTTAGCGTATGAGCACAAGCTATCTTCATTCACATTGAAAAGTTGGGTTACATAACATTCTGAGAATGAAATTTATGAGCATTTCCGAGCTTCACACTCCTGGCTCTGACTTACATTTTACATCCTCAAAATCATTAAATCATAAGTGATTGCTGCTATTGTGCCATTTCTGGGAAAAAGCGAGGACATTGCAACTTTTACAGCAGGTTCATTGCACAGATTTATCAGTGTTGGTGGAGGATGACTCATAGCTCAGTTAGGTGAGGCTATATTTCAAATAGGACATTTTGATACTGTCAAGTTTATGCCCTGAACACCACCTGCAAAAGAAGAAAAACATAATTCTCACACATTATTATTGGATGCGTATGACTCATGCAATGTGTGCTTGTATATATTCAGACACACACCTATGACTCACCACTTGTTTTCAGTCTATATGTTCTAAAGCCGTGAAAGTCCTCCCTTCTTGCTGTCAGCAGCATATGTTGTGTTTTGGATGCTGGTGAACTGGTGAGTTCCCGGCAGATCACTTTCCTGATCAACCAGCTATGCTAGTCAACATAACCAGCATTTCTTTATTTCTTGACAGAAAAAAGTCAATCAAAAAATTGTAAGGGGTAAACAGTCAAAGACCCAGAACCAGATATGAAGAATGAAGACCCGGAGTCAGAATTATAAAAAATTAAAGAAAAGTTTTACTGAAGATAGTTTGCATTTTCATCAGCAGAAGTCAGCTTCAAGACTCACACAGGAGTTCGTAGGCCGCCCCGCTTACAGTTACAAAGATCACAGCAGTTATACCATTTCCAAGGTCTAAGCTACGTCATTGCTTACAGGTTGAATGATTCTCATTGGCTAAGAAACATGAAAGCCTAAACAATTTAACACATGTGAGGAGATAGGGGTGCCTATCGCCATTAGTCAAGATAGTTGTCGTCCACTCATTAGATTTAGGTCTGTGGTGGCCTCGCAGGTTAGAGAAGGGCGCCGGGGTGTCTGGTCCGACCGTCCAGAACCTACATAGAATGTCATACGCACACACACAAATAACAGACACTAGCAAATAACAGCTCCCATCAAGGCTGAAGAGAGTCTGAGCTCCTTATTATCAGTTAAGTATACCAAAACATACTGCTAAAACATTCACTCATTTAAGA